AAATTATATCATTTTTTGCAGTAGAAATTGAATTAAAGCACTCTAATATTGTTTCTTCGTTTGTCTGTCTGTCTGTAGCTCAGAGGAGTGGAAGAGAGTGAGTAAGGGTGAGCGAGAGAGGTTAGGTGTGACTGTGGAAGATGATGGCGAGTTCTGGTGAGATTCTGCCCTGCTTTTGCTCTGTTTCAAGACTTTTTGCATTGAAATTGTGGAGGGCAATCAGAAAATGTTTAATGAAGAAATACTGCAATGAAATACAAACATTTCTGACTCGGAAAAATGCAAAAATAATCAGTTTCCCCTTAAAAATAAACAAATAAAGTATTGCTGCTGCTTCCATCAATGTGCAGTCTGTTTATATCTGTTAATATCCCAAAAAATGTGTTTTCTATCTGTGACATGCTGATGATTATCACATAACATAATTTAGCATTTTCAGTTTGTCAGTGCGGCATTAAAAAATGGTTTAAAATGTAAGGCTTGCATTTTTCTTAAAGCAGTTAATTAATTCTTCATTGCAAAACCACATCATCCTCCCTTTCTGGCATCTTTGCAAACTATCTATCTATCTATCTATCTATCTATCTATCTATCTAAAGCTGAATTATGTGCATGTGAAGTACATCTGATTGAAATGTTTTACTTCAGAATCAAACTCCTCTTAAAACTGTAAAGTTTGGATTTGCTACTGATGGTCGTTCTTCTCCGTCCTGCTTCTGTCCATTATCTTTCCAGGATGGATTTTGAGGATTTCTGCAAGTATTTCACAGACCTGATTCTGTGCCGCTTGATTAACACGTCGTACCTGAGCATCCACAAGACCTGGGAGGAGGAAGTGATGCGGGGCTCCTGGTGTCGCCACGACGACCCTTTAAAGAACCGATCAGGAGGCTGCATCAACCGCAAAGCCACGTTCCTGCAGAACCCACAGGTGTGTGTGTGTGTGTGTGTGTGTGTGTGTGTGTATTGTGTAGAGGTGTACTGAAGAGTGTTTCTGTGTTCTTCAGTATGTGTTCGATGTGACAAAGCCAGAGGACGAGGTTCTGATCTGCCTTCAGCAGCAGGACAAGAGAGCTCGATCTAAAGATGGCATTGGAGACAATGTGGCCATCGGCTTTGACATCCAAAGAGTATGTACACAAACACAAACACAAGTACACAAACCAATCTTTAAAAAAACGTAATATTACATAATTTGATTAAACATATCAATAAAACATCTCCACTGAGTTTTTTTCTCAAAAGAAGACTGAAGATGCACTTACGAAAATAAAAAACAGTGAAATATCAAAACATTCGGTTTTGATGACAAAAAGAAGTATTCAAAATGTACTCAGAAGTATTCAAACTTAACTACAACAAAATGTACTCTAAACAATAGAACTTAATAAATAAATATTTATAGTTGGCTTTATATCAGTCATTAATGACAAAAAAGAAGTATTCCGAATGTATAAAATAGCTCACTGCAAAGAGTGGAAAAATGTTCAAATAACAGTTTTTAATAAAGATGTCTCTTGTGCTTACCAAGGCTACATTTATTTGATCATAAATACAGAAAAATGGTAATACTGCAAACTATTATTACAATTTAAAGTGTTTTCTATGTGAATATATGTTAAAATGTAATTTATTCCTATGATGCAAAGCTGAATTTTCAGCATATAGGGGCAACACTGAGGAGAATTCAGATTCTATATATTTATTAGTTTTAGTGCACTCATCAAAATAACAAAAGCGAATGTCAAAAGATTCAGTTTTGATGACAGAAAGAAGTATTCAAAATGCATTTAATTTAACGTACAATCTGCAAAGGAGTGGAAAAATGTTCAAATACTATTTAATTGTCGATTTAATGTTTGCATTTTCTTCTGTTGAGTGTGAGTGTTCCTGGGGTGGCAGATGGGAATGTGGAGTGGAAGGATAGATGAAAAAAGTTTTTCTGTGTGAATTGTTGGTGGTAATCTCTATACAGATGGCTGCAGTTTGTAAAAGAGAGAGAGAGACACTAGTGACGTGTTGTGTAACTGTGTGTGCACATAAGCAAACACTTATGAAGGATTAATGAATGCATTAGTCTCTTTGCCAGACAGACAGCGAGCATGAAAAACGTCCATATGTGTTTGTGTGTGTAGTGTAAAGCTCATCTCATGAAAACCACACTAAATGGGAGCAATAAGTTCATGAGATGAGTTGATAAGTGCTTTGAGTACCTGCAGTGTTCAGAGCCCTGGGCTGTGTGTGTGTGTGTGTGTGTGTGTGTGTGTGCATGTTTATGTGGTTTATGAGGATACAAATTTGTATAATAACATGGGTATGACATAGGTATCACAACGAGAAGGTGATTTAGGAGGACATTTTCAGTGTCCCTGTAATTCAAAGGGCTTATAAATAATTCAGAATGAGTTTTTTTTTAAATCTAAAAATGCAGAAAGTTTCCTGTGAGGGGTAGGTTTAGGGGT